TTTTTTTTTTGGCCGCCCCTCCACTTTACTAAGCATTGAAGTCCTGCTCCAGGGACTGACTGGTCTCTCCTGACAACATGTCCAAAGGACGTGAGAGGAATTCTCAGCGTCCTTGCCTTCAAGGAGCATGCTGGTTGTACTTCTTCCAAGACAGAGGTGTCTGTGGTTTTGGGTAGTCCGTGGGACTCTCAGTACTCTTCGCCAGCTGCGTAAGTCAAATGCATCGATTTTTCTTCAGTCTCCCTTATTCAAAGTCCAACTCTCCTGTGCACAGGAGATGGTTGAAAAGACTCTGGTTTGGGTCAGGTGCACCTTCGTCCCCAAGTAACATCCGTGCTTTTCAAAACTTTAAAGCGGTGTTGTGTAGCAGATACGGAGCTCTAGTGGTTAGTGGTTATAGTATAGTGGTTATACTTTGGGCTGTGGTCCTCAAGGTCAGCCGTTCAAAACCACTCACTGCTCCTCGGGAGAAATTTGGCTTTCTACTCCCATAAACGGTTAAACGGTCTTCGAAACTCACAGGGGCACTTCTACCCTATCACATCACCTCAGAACTGACTCAATGGCAGGGAATCTTTTGGATGGAGGCTTTAAAGGAGCCCTGGTGGCTTAGTGGGTTCTATGTTGGGCTGCTTACTGCAAGGTCAGCAGTTCAAAATCACCAGCCTCTCTGAGAGGGAAAGTTGAGGCTTCAGCTCCTGAAAAGCTTTGCAGCGTTGGAAACCTACAGCCACAGTTGTCCCCTGACGGGTGCAGTTGCAATGAGGTGAATCAGCTCAGTGATGGGGAGCTGAGCTTGAGGACCCCCTAGGAGCCCTGGTGGCTCCATGATCGTTGTTAATCTTCTTAAAAGTAGGTGGGTTAAACCCACCAGCCGCTCTGTGGGAGAAAGGGGTGGAAGCCTGCTTCCCTGAGGCTTTACAGCCCCGGGTGCCCTATGGGGGCCGTTTTCTCCCATCCTCCAGGGACGCCGTGAGTTAGAATCAACTGGGCCCTGTGGGTAGTGGGTTTAGGACCCCTCCCCTTCCATCCTTGTGTTCCCTCTCCAATACTTTGGTCACCATCTCGTATAGGATCTATTTGAATTTACTTTTCTGGCTTAAAACAACCCACCTTTGTTATCTTCTGGTTTCTGTGGGGCAGAAATCCGGATCAGGTGGAGGAGCTTGCTCCAGGATCTCCAGCAGGTGGCAGTCTTAGTGGTGAGGTGTTTCGCAGCTAGGTGGTTGAGTGTTGGGCTGTTCACTTCAAGTGCAGCAGTTGGAAAACATTAGCCCCTCCAAGGGAGAGAGATGAGGCTCTCTACTCCCATAAATTATTAAAGTGTCAGAAACCCACAAGGGGAATTCTACCTTGTTGCAATTTGTTGGAACTGACTTAATGACAGTACAGTTTGGTTTGGGTTTTATGCCTAGTGATTTGTAAAAATTTATATCTATCTATGTACATAGATACATCTCCCCCCAAAACCGGATTGTTCCCCCCAAAGCAATGTAGTTTGATATTTTACAAAACAACAACCTTACCACCTTCAAATTACTCTCCGTTACACTTAAAATACATTTGTCAAATCTGCAATTCCATTCTTTTTTTTTTTTAACATTTTATTGG